TATCCGAATTTGGGTTGTAACATTTAATGTCACTCCTGAACAGAACAATATTAGTCTACCTCATAAGAGAATATGTTCTTCAAAATTGAGTATAACTTATCTGTGCACTTTTGTCTAAGTCATATTAATCTGAATAGTATTTCAAGTTGGTCAAGGATAGACCTTAGGTTCATTGAAAGTAGAGGCACTACCAACTTGTAGATCTTGTTTGGAAGGAAATTTGACTAAAGTATGTTTCCCTTCAAAAGAAAATAAAGCTAGTGATAAACTAGAATGAATCCCTTTTGTTTTGTATGGTTAAATGAACATACTAGTACGAGATAGTTTTTGAGTATTTTTGTGACGTTCATAAATGATTACTCAAAATATTAATATATTTATTTGATGCACCGTAAGTCTTAATGATTTAAGTAATTCAAGATTTTAAGACTTGAAACGGAGAAGCACCAAGGAAATATACTAAGTTACTGCAATTGGATTGTAGTGGCGAGCACCTCTCTAAAGAGTTCTTTTGTTACTTATAAGAATAAGGGATTACATCTCCATTGTCTACATCGTAAACTCCATAATAGAGTAGTAAGGTAGAAATAAGAAATAAGTCTCCTTTGGACATGTATAGATTAATGAAGTGTTATTCGGATTTGCCTTATTCGTTTTTGGAATATTTTCTAGAAATTGTAAATTACATTCTGAATTTAGTTCCTTCTAAGTTAGTACCTGTCAGTGTTTTAAAAGGCGTAGGCGTAAGGCAAGGCATTTTACATATGCCTCAGCGGGGCATAAGCCCCGAGGCACGGGGCGTAAGCCCCATAGGTATTTAATTTTTAATATTTTATAAAATAATATAATGATAGTAAATATTTATAAACAGGTAAAATTGCATAACAATTAAAGAAAACTATATATATATATATATGTGCTCCATCCCCACAAAAAATTAATCAAAATAATCTATTATATGTTACTTACAAGCACAAGTAATTTGAGTCTAAAAGAATAAAGTTTTCTATATGGAGGAACAAAAGGATGATTAACCTGTAATTTGAACTTTGAATTTGCTGCTATGAAGAAAAATGTAGTTCTCTTTGTATTTGTAAAAAAAATTAAATATTCGTTGCTTTTGGGAATTGGGAGATATTAGCAGACTAGCGGACAAGATAAAAATTTAGAAAACCCATAAATTAGGGCTTAAATCAATAAAAAAGATCTTTACTTTTAAATTTAATACTCTTGAGTTCCTTTTTAAACCTTTTGAGTAATTACCAAACTGACTTTTGAGAATTTGGGTATTATATAAAGGACTAATTCAATAAATTTTATTTTAATTTAAAAAAGTCTCTGGGCGTACGCCCCGAACGCCCGGGCGTACGCCCCAAATTGCGGGGCGTATGCCTCTTGAGACTTTTGCCCCACATCATCGCTCCGGGGAGTTTTTGGTATGCCTCGCCCCGGGGCTCGCCCCAGAAACGCCTTTTAAAACAGTGGTACCTGTGACATCTATAGAACTGTGGACTGAATGTAAGCTCGGTCTGTGGCATGTTCAGACATAGGATTGTCCAGCATAGGTGCTGAAAGGGAAAACGGATATGTAAGTTGAAACTAAGAATGGATAGGTGCATGTTTATTGAATATCTAAGAAAACGAATGGAGGTTTATTTTATTGTCCTAAAGAAAATAAGGCAATTGTTAAAATAAATGCAGTTTTCTTGATAAGGACTACTTAATAAACTATGTTCCTAGAAGTAAACTAGTTTTACAGGAACTAGGCAAAGAAATAACTAGATGATCAAGAATATCAAAACCCAAACATTGGAATTGACATTCCATTACATTTAAGTAGTGAAAAAATTTAATAGGCAGAATATGCCTTTATCGAGTGGGAGTGATGTTTGAATAATGAACACTATAGCAAGAAGTCGATAATATTTCAATACTGTAAGGTAATGAAAGTAATATTAGTAGCACTTCGTCGTAGTGTGAGAATACTAAGGAAAATTATAGTTCGGTGTACACTCTTGGGATAGATTTGGTAACAGGATCCCTGAAGAGTTTAATACCAAACTAGATAGTGACGACAAAGAACTACTGGACAAAGATTGCATCAGAAAATAACTTGGCAAGATTTTTTAACAAAACCTTATTTGGTGAAGACTTTTAATAGTCATATAAAAAGAATGCCTCAGAAAGTTGTAGATGCATGGTTATGAGTCTAAGTGGGAGATTGTTGGGGTATATACTATTAACCATGCGTTTGGATATAGTATATTCTAACAATTGTCATGGTTAAAAGTCTAAGTGGGAGATTATTGGGATATATACTATTAACCATGAGTTCGGTTTAGATATAGTATTTATTATGAAATAATTATTTATTCAGTTTTAATAAACTTTTAAATAGATCATATATTAGTCTGTGTCCTTTGCTTATATAGTAGATGATTTAGTGTATAGAATTTAGCTTATATACGGAAGATTAAATCATCGGTTCTTATAAGTATAAAGTTTGAGTTCACAATCTAATGATGGAATTGGACAAACCATCATGAATGATTGTAGCACAAGATTAAATATAATTTATCTTGATTATGAGAATGGTTTAATTTTAACTTTTTGTGCTAGTGCATTTTGTATGTATTGAACGGACCAAGTAGAGATAAGTATTTTATACTAACTTAATAAAATAAACTCTCTAGCCATTAAATGTACTTATACTCTTAATCTTGATATAATTATTATTAGTTGTATATATTATTATTATTTTGATTTATTACAAGGCGAGATTATTTCGTGGGTCAATATGCCTGGTAAATTGGATAATAATAATAATAATAATAATGTACATTGGCGAAGTAATAGTTAGTTGATGGAATCCATGTCTCAGTTTAGAGATTGATTATATACCTTTATGAAAGCTTATAAGTTTTTATGTGTAAACACGACCGGTAGATTTTGTATCCGACACATGAAATAAGTTAAGCGAAAGTCTAAAGGAAATAATCAATAAATTAAATTGTCAGTAATTTAATTTAATTGATTAGTATCTGAATCTTAACATGGGGAGTTAAATAACATTTAATGGATGAATTTCGAAATTGAATAATGAGTGCAATTATAAATTTTTAGTGGAATAATTCGTAATTAATTATGGTGGATATTAATTTCTAAAATTAAAAATTAATTTCATAATTGGAAGCCTTGTTAATTAAATTATGTGGTCTCTGCTGTACTTAAATAATAGGAAATGAATGAATCCCTTTTCTGATGAAAAGGAAAACCTAACAGATTTTGGAAAAAGGCTTTAACCCTTAAAACATGTGCTATAAATACATAAATTTTTCCACCTCGAGGGGATAAGACATGGTGGCTGAAATTTCAGCCATATTTTCCTTAAAATTTCGCCCACACGAAATTGTTATTTCCGTATATTATTTGGGTAACACAGTATAAGACCGTGGAACGTTCGAGGATCATGATTGTGCGGGTGGTGGAGATTCCATTGAGAAGTTATGGAACTGAAGGCTCACGTGATAGAAGAGATTTGTTCACGCTTCAAGAGGTAACCCGTGAAATCCCGTATATGCTAGTTGTCTAGATTACATGTGATTTTGATATTGGGATTGCTTCTGCTGCTTATAATAATCCATCATTTTCGTTGTTACGTAACAATGAATTTAACAATACGATACAATAAAATTTAAGTAACAATCAAAATAAACATTATATTTAAAGTAACAATACGATACAATACAACAACCAATAGGTAACAGTCATCCAAACAAGCTGTAAGGAGTAATTCCACTGTTTTAATATGTTATAGGAGTAAGATGCTTTAAACTTATGTGTATGTTTTTATTTGCATGTTGTCTTTAATTAATTCCTAGTTTCACTTTGGCCCATAAGTTCCTAATCTTTCAATCACAATCAAGAAGTAAGTTTTATGATCTATTTATAAATATTCTTTTAATTCAGGCGATTTTTTTGTCACTTGAACAAAAATCAGAACAAATTAAAGCTGAAATATTTTAGGAAGTTTTACAAAGTAAAATCAATTGCAAGAGTGTGTCCAACCCTTCAAATGTTCAAGTGGTATATTACATTTATACAACTCGATCATTTATAAGATAAGAATAAATAAATCTCTATAATAATTATGAATTCATAATATAGTAAAAATAATAATTAACCAACATGATATTAGAAGTTAATCTACATAAAATAAAAATATATTTACGCTATCAATATGTATATAACATAAATCCGAAGCAAAATTATATATAATAATAAAAGCATGATTTCTAAACAACATATGTATATAATATATATATAGGGTTGAACAGTAATCATTGGAAATTCCGATTGGGACAAGTAAGCATGAACAGCGAGTGTTTCACATGTATCCACGCAAAGTAAAAAAGAAACATATTGCATGACGTATCTCGATTCTCGATCGCAGAGCTTACCTCCAACACTTTCCCCAATTCCATAACGGCCTTCTAACCTCACACCCTCCATTGCTTATCCCTCCAAATTAAAAAAGCCAACTTTGGAAGCCCAGTCATCTTAGGGGTTTTGAATTTTGCCTTTTTTTAAGTTATTGAGTTTTATATTTAATAACTTTTTAAAAATAAATATTAATTTTGAACCAAAATTATTGAATTTCGCTTTCAATATTTTATATATATATATATCTGAAAAAATCAATATCGCTTGGATTCATTGATATGCATTTCGTGTATCATCTGCTTAAACAATTGTCGTGAGTGAGCTTATAGGAATGTTTGAATTTCGCTTAGTTACAACCAAAAATATAAAATGAAGAAATAAAAATTATATAACTTTGTTGTTTTTGTATTTTTTATTTTTACATTTTATAGGGATATATATATAATTACTACATTACCCCCTTTATCATTTACCTAAATAATATTTTTTTTGGTTGAAAAACCCCTACAAATAGTTGTACACACTCACGCCTACAAGGAAAAATCACTTAACGAAATGGTGGCATGGCAACTTTTGATTTGAAGAAAGTATCTCTTTAAACTACATCGAAAGGGGTACAAGTGATTGAGACATAGATTATTATCATCCATCCACAACTAATCCCTTGCCTCTTGGATGTGATTACAATTCGTGAATAAACATTACGCCTATTGATCTACTACTACTGCTAGCTAGAAAAAAAGTACTAACAGGTATGCTTTTTGCCTGCTCTCTCTTCTTGTTTTCATGTATCTTGCGATGGAAATCACTTCTTTTACACCTTAATCCATGCTAGAAGTGTTATTATAATTCCATGTCTCTTCGACCAAAAAGATTTGGTAAGTTGGGGGATGTGGGGGTGGAGATAGTTGTAGAAATTAAAAGAAACCAAATCTTGATTTTAATAGTTACAAATTTTATATCAACTCATGAAAAACATAATAGAACATCAAGCTTCAAGTTTCTTAATTAAGATTCAAATATTTTTTTTTTAAAATTACCAATTAGGTCATCGATTGTCAGAAAAGTTGATTAATTTGATTTAATATGTTTTGTTTTCAACTCGATTGATCAATTATTCAATTCTGGAGGTCTTTTTTTTTTTTTTAAAATTGTGATTGCTGAAGTTTCCTTTAGTTGATTCTACATGTGATGAGATGTCTTAATGCCTATAAATGTTTAATGAAAGCCTATTTTCGAAGCTTTTGCATAGATGGGACATGTAGCATAACATTTATGATGTTGTTCATATTATGAAAAGGTATGTTTTAGGGAGTCTGTCCTAGGATAGTAGTGTTGGTGATTTACTCTTATGTTCTATTTTATAATTTATAATACCAGTATATGAATTTTACGTAGTTCAACTTTTTTGGTTAATACATTTTACATAATACAGTAACATCAACATGTGCATCTTAGATTTCTTTTTAATCAACTTTACTCTATGAACATTTAGTTGCTTTGGAGTTCAAAAGTCAAAACCAGCAGTTTTCGGTTTGCTAACTACTTTGCTTTTTAAATAATCCCTTTTTCGTTATTTAGTTTCCTCTGGTCGTCACACGCTTAGTACCTTTTGTTAGTTTTTCCGACAAAAATTTCCGATTAGTTGTGAATTGTGATCAACTCAGCCGGTAATCTATTTTATAGTAGGAGTGATCATTTGCTATAATGGGTTTGTGAACCTTTTAGTACCTTTTGTTGGTTGAATAGAAAAATTTCCCATTTAGATGTGTGCAAAATTACCAATGTTTTAATCTCTTGAATTCTTATATATTTTCACGAGCGTTATTTTGTTTAGTTTTATTTTTGATAAGTAGAAGTTATATTATACAGTAAACAACAATAATGGAACATAGAAAAACTAATGGTGTGTCTATTTCATATACATTGTCCAACATACACCAAAATGCTAGCAAATGCATTAATTTGAATTTTTCCTCGTAATTGATCAGCCACATCTATTTAATATTAGCAACTGAAACATTAGGTGTTTTGATTCATTGATTTAATGGATAAGAGGGTGGGGGCAAGCAAAAAATAGTTTGTATTTGGAGATGCACTAGGTGATTTGTTGTTCATGAGTTTTCACTTTTCTAGATGTTGGATAGTATCTAGTGTAACATGTTTTCTCATATGGTCAATTTTATGTTGCATTTTTAAGAGGGATATCAATGTCGATAACAAGAGTCACGTTTATGACTGAGCAACAAAAACGGATGAAAGGAACATACAACAGAAATATCGTTGATAAGGAAGTACTAGGTGGAATATTTGTTGGGATATACTGTTAACCATCCGCTTTAGACATAATATTTTGTTTAATTGTTTATGGAACAATTGTTTATTTAATTTATTCAATTCAATAAAGTACCTTTTTAAATAGATCATTTGTTACATGTGTGTCCTTTTAGTTATGTAGTAGACAATTTAATGTATGGAGTCTTAGCTCATGCACAAAAGATTAAATTGTCGGTTCACATAATTAATAAACTATGTTCACAATCAAAGATATTATTGGACAAAATATCTTGATGATTGTAGCACAAGATTATAGTATAATGTGTCTTGATTATGGGAGTGGTTTTACTCCAACTTCTTGTGCTAGTATACTTAGTATATATTGAACGGACCAAGTAGAGAAAAGATGTTTTTGTACTGAATATATATAAAATATTTTCTCTAATTCATTAAAATGAGCTTATACTCCTAATCTTGATATAATTGTTATGATCAATGTGATTTATTTATTGTTTTGATTTATCAAAAGGTACAACTCTATTCAGAGTTAGTGTATGCCTAATAGATTGAACAATAACGAATAACATTTGTGAAATAATAATTAATTGATAGAATCCATGACTCGATTTTGAGTTTGATGATACCCCTTTCATGTAGGCTTATAAGTTTTCATGTGAAAACCCGGCTGGTGGATTTTGTATCCGTCATATAAAATAGTTTAAGCGGAATTATAAAAGATTTAATTAGTTTATTAAATTAAATTTTTAGTGATTTAATTTAATTAACTGGTATTTGGGATCTTAACATGGGGAGTTAAAATAAGTGCTAGTGAATTTTTGAAATTCATATTGAGGAGTTCAATTGCAGTTTTTTAGTGGAATAAACTGCAATTATGTCACGACCCAAACTAACCCCTGTCGTGATGGTGCCTATCGTGGAACTAGGCAAGCCGACTCATTTCCAAAACAAACCGATATTTTCATTTCAAAGATAATTTCAATGTTATTTAACATAAAAACCTACGTAAAGGAGTTTCAATCAAAATAAAAGTGCGGAAGAAAAAGCTCGACATCTGGGTGTCATTAGTCATGAGCATCTACTACAATCCGTCTAACAATATCAAGAGTAACTCAGTTTGAAAAATAGCTAAATACAACTGAAGGAAGATAAGAGGGAGAAGAGCAGGGGCTGCGATCACCAAGCAGCTACCTTGCTATCCTCGAGAAAATCTGCAACCAGAATAATCAACAACTGCTACTGTGTCCAGCTATACCTGGATCTGCACACAAGGTGCAGGGAGTAACGTGAGTACGCCAACTCAGTAAGTAACAACAATAAATAAAGACTGAGTAGTAGTGACGAGCAATAAAGCATATAAAGTTCATATCATGAAATCTCCGTAAAATATCACATGCTTTAAAAATCAGGATTTGAATCAAAACATCTCGTTTAAACCCAGTTCCAGTCAAATCATTTAAAGATATTTTTCAACAGTTTTCAAATAGAGACTAAATGCATAGGTGAACAAAAATGATGAAATCATAAACAGCCCCTCGGGAAAAATATCACTCATATACAGCCCTTCGGGAAAACCTCACAGTCACTCATGCCTCTCGGGCATACCTCACCATCACTCATGCCACTCGGGCATACCTCGCAATCACTCTTGCCTCCCAGTCACTCAGCACTCGGCACTCGCACTCAGTAGGTACCTACGCTTACTAGGGGTATGTACAAACTCCGGAGGGGCTCCTTCAGCCCAAGAGCTATATCAAGCCAAATCATGGTATAAATCACTCAGGCCCTTGGCTTATATCAAACATGCTGAGGCGTGCAGCCCGATCCCATAAATATCCTCACAAATCAGGCCCTCGACCTCACTCAGTCATAAACCTCTCAAGCCACTCGGGCATTTCAGTGAAAACAGGGTATTCAACCCGAAACAACATTTATATGCATCAAAACCGAGTAATAAAAACTGAGTTATACAGTAAACAGGTATAACCATGACTGAGTATAGATTTTCAATCGAAAACAGTGAGAGGATAGTAAGAAAAGGCCCCTAAGGGTCCACACAACACTGGCACAAATCCCAAAATATGGCATTTAGCCCAATTTACAGAAACTCTTTCTAAAACATATAAAGATCATATAGTTTCAACAAAATATGCAACTTTACAGTTGCTACGTGACGGACCAAGTCACAATCTCCAACAGTGCACGCCCACACGCCCGTCACCTAGCATGTGCGCCACCTCAAAATAGTAGAATGATACGAAATCTGGGGTTTCATACCCTCAGGACTAGATTTACAATCGTTACTTACCTCAAACCATGTAATTCTTTATTCTGCTATGCCCTTGCCACGAGAATTTGACTCTGAGAGCCTCGTATCAAGCCACAATTAATTCGATTTAGTCAATACCAATTATTGTAATCAATTCCATAAGGAAATACTAACTTTTTAATAAAATCTGTAATTAACTAAAAAATTGCCTGTGGGGCCCACGCCTCGGAACCCGGCAAAAGTTATAAAGTATGAATGCTCATCTAACCACGAGTCCAACCGTACAAATTTCACCAAATTCTGATATCAACTCGATCCTCAAATCTTTAATTAAAGTCTATGAAGATTTCTACCATTTTCAACCCAATATTTACCCATTTGAACTTAACAATCTTTTTACAACCTTATGGGTATGTATACATAATACTCTTACACCCAAGAATCATACTATTATTCACCCATCTTTACTCCAAACCCGAAATTGAAGAATTAGGGAAATAAATTCTTACCTCTCTGAAGCCCTAGCAAGATCCTTGTGAAATCTTCAAACCTTGAACAAGAATTGATGGATAAATGACTAAGTCTTCGATTTCTCTCTCTAAAATGCTCTCACATCTCTCTAAAATGTCAGATTTTGTCTCAAAATGAGCTTCAAGGGCTATAAATCGAAGTTGGGTCGGGTCAAAATTTAGAAAGAATGGAAGCTCTGACGCAGTTATGCGATCGCATAACAGGTATACGGTCCGCATACCGGCCGCATAATTTGGCCTCCAAAGATGGGCATTACTAACCCGGTCTACGGTCATTATGCAGCCTGCATACTTGTTCTGCGGTCGCATAATGCACCATAAAACAGGTCTGCGGTCGCATAGTGCACCATAGATTTTCCTCAAATCTTGCCCCTCTCCTCATCCACTTTGCGACCATTATGCGGTCCGCAGAGTGGTTCTGCGACCGCATAATGGTCGCAGAAATGACTCTTTTTCTGACAAAAGTTTCCTTTACACATCGGTGCATTGTTCAACCCAAAAAGTCTGAGCCGTGGCGAGCAAGCGCGCCGCGAGAAATTTCTATAATCTTTGTACTAATTGATCTACCTCGACACCACCAAACCTTAATTTCCTTAGCAAAATTTTTCCGGGGTCGTTACACATAAGTCAACATCCGGTTAACCTTTTCCACTTAAATTCTAAACCTTGGAACTAAGTGCTCCAAATTATTTCAAAACCTTACCGGACCCAAACCAATTACCCCCGCAAGCCAAATAAAAACTCTAATTCACAATTTGAGCAGTAAAGGGGGGAACGAGATTGCAATAGTCAAAACGACCGGTCGGGTCATTACATTCTCCCCCTCTTAAATAAACGCCCGTCCTCGAACGATCTTAGAATCATACCTGGAATCTCAAATAGATGTGGATATTTGCTCCGCATCTCCTGCTCAATCTCCCAAGTAGCTTCTCCGACTGGCTGGCCTCTCCACTGCACCTTCACCGAAGCTATGTTCTTTGATCTCAACTTTCAAACCTGCCGGTCTAAAATGGCCACCGACTCCACATCATAAGTCAAATTACCATCCAGCTGCACTGTACTGAAATCCAAAATATGAGATAGATCCCCTACAAACTTTTGGAGCATGGATACATGGAACACTGGATGAACACCTGATAGACTGGGTGGCAAAGCAAGTTCATAAGCCACTTCTCCAATTTTCTTAAGTATCTCAAAAGGCCCAATATACCGAGGGATCAACTTGCCCTTCTTACCGAACCTCAACACACCCTTCATTGGTGAAATTTTGAGCAGAATTTTCTCCCCAACCATGTAAGCAATATCACGGACCTTCCTGTCAGCATAACTCTTCTGTCTAGACTGCGCCGTGCGAAGCCGCTCCTGAATCACTTTAACCTTCTCCAAAGCATTCTGAACCAAGTCAGTACCCAATAGCCTAGCCTCACCCGGCTCAAACTAACCAACCGGAAATCGACACCGTCTCCCATATAATGCCTCATATGGAGCCATCTGTATACTCGACTAGTAGCTGTTATTGTAAGCAAACTCCGCAAGTGGCAGAAATTTATCCCAAGAACCTCCAAAATCAATGGCACAAGCGCGTAGCATATCCTCCAATATCTGAATAGTGCGCTCGGACTGTCCGTCTATCTGAGGGTGAAATATTGTACTCAACTGAACTTGTGTGCCCAATTCTCGCTGCACTGCTCTCCAAAACTGTGATGTAACTGCGTGCCCCGATCTGAAATGATGGACACTAGCACACCATGTAGGCGAACAATCTCGCGGATATAAATCTCAGCCAACCGCTCCTAAGAATAATTAGTACCAACTGGAATAAAATGCGCGGATTTGGTCAACCGATCCACAATCACCCAAACCGCATCAAACTTCCTCAATGTCCGTGGAAGCCCAACTATGAAGTCCATGGTAATGCGTTCCCATTTCCACTCCGGAATTTCAAGTCTCTGAAGTAATCCTTCCGGTCTCTGATGCTCGTACTTTACCTGTTGACAATTTAAACACCGAGCTACAAACCCAACTATATCCGGGGTGCACGCCCAACAGTGCACACCCACACCCTAGCATGTGCGTCACCTCCAAACTAATCACATGATACAAAATCCGGGGTTTCATACCCTCAGGACCAGATTTATAATTGTTACTTACCTCAAACAGTGAAATTCTTATTCTGCAATGTCTTTTCCTCGTGAATTGGCCTCCAAACGCCTCGAATCTAGCCATAAATAATTTGATTCAGTCAATAAAATTTATTGGAATTAATTCCATAAGAAAATGCAAGTTTTCCATAAAAATACGAAATTTAACTCAAAAATCGCCCGTGG